TTTTTTTTAATTAAATGCAGTCTGAGCAAAAGCCGGTCATGCTGGCACTCAAAATTAATGGGAAAATATTAACAATCGATTACGCGAAAAATATTAGTCGCATCGTTGTATTTACTTTTCACTACAATTATGTAGCGTATGTAAAAACATACATTTACTTATATGTGTGTACATATATATTTAGATATGTACTAGATCGCAATCACCCGCTTCGCTGAGTGTATGAAATTTCTGCGTGCTATATTGGGTGTACAGAATATTTTGCTTTGCTGCCTCTATGCTTAAGTGCACATTTAAGATACCTACCCCAAAATGCGCATCAAAAGCATTATTTTTAACATTTATAAGGAAACAGATCCGATAGATGCATTCAACATACCTGCACATTGGCCTGCCTTAAAAATTGTGCAACTAGTATCAAATATCAATGAAAGTATTAGGTTTATCTGCACTGGCCCTACAATTACCTAATTTTACAATCTTTTATTTATTTTGCTCATCTCGCAGAACAACGAAAATGGCTATCAATTTATGTAGTTATATAGATAATTAGATAACACTCGGTAAAAATTTCGCTTGCAGTAATTTCTACATGGTAAGTGCTCCGCCAATATTTGGTTTCATAGGGATTCGGATACATTCCTCATTGAAGTAGTAAAGAAAATTCGCTTAAGTGCCTTTTTCGGTTACGTGCACAAGTTTTTCATGCAAAGAAGGATGCGCAGCTAAGCAAAATATACCGTAATTTATTTCAATAAATCTAAACATACTTAAACTACGCCAAACACAGGAGATTTTAAACATGTTTCAAAAACCATTTCGATTGATACACCTATTGTAATACTTCATTGAAATTATTGAATAGTTTGAATTTAATTTTCTAAACAGTTGGCAACCTTTTTAAACCTTTGAACTTTGAAATTTTTGTAAACCCTGCTATATATTTGTAGCTTAGAAATGAACCCCTTTCAAGACTTTTCGATTAATGTCTATGTTGTAGTAACTCTTATAATATAATTTTACATATTTGAATTTAGTTTTAAAACAGGTGGCAGCCCTCTTCAAATACCTCAGAAGATTCAACTTGTTCAAGCTGAACATAACTGAACACTCATACGTTTGACACTGTAATTTGAGTATAATTAATTTTTAGTTGAACCTTTTAAACAGATGGCAACCCTCTCAAAAATATTTTCCAACTATAGTCTTATTAAGCCTCTTTGGTCTGGCACCCATATTGTGATACATATTCCAATTTTCTAATTCCTTGAATTCAAGTAGAATTTGGATTTTTCAAACAGGTGGCAATAGTCCTTCATATAGTTTAGAACTGAAACCGTTTTCAAAAATCCATTTCGATTGACACCCATATTGCAGTAATTGATTTAAATTAGTTGAATTAATTTTTAATCGGGTGACAACCTCAGTAAAACGCCTCAATAATATTATAAATATTGAAACAAAAAGGTTTCTTAACAATTTTTCGTTTGACACACATATTTAAATTTTTGAAATACATAGCTTGCGAATAATTAATTTGAATTTGACTTTTCAAACAGGTGGCATCCCTTTTCAAAATATTTTCAAACCAGAACTTTTTCAAGCCTCTAGACATACATTTCTTAATATAATTTTAAATAACTCCATACCAAGTTCCAGTGTCACAAATATTTCCTGCGATATGCCGTATGAAAAATTCTTTTGTATGAGGGGTGCCACGCCGCCTTGTACACTCGAGATTAAATCTATCCTGTATTTTAAGTTGAGCTAAATGACATCAGTGTACTGATGATCATGATGATCGGTTGAGTAGTTAAAGCGTGAAAGCGTAACAAATAAAAAAACTCACTTTCGGATTTATAATATTAGTCAGGATATACTGACAGACACGAACAAGTGAATTCAGTAAAAAATCTATAGAGCTTTTATAATGACATCAAATACTCGTATGTGTATCGAGTCCTAACCGCCAAAAAGACGTAAGTGACATTTTTTCAAAATTTTATTTTTGATGTAGAAATGCATCCATATACTCTAGGAATATTTTTGCATCAAAACGAAAACTTTGAAAAAAAAATTTCGTTTACGACTTTTTGGCATTTAGGACTCGATACATGTACATATGCATCCTGCTTTTATATATTGTTCGATTTTTGGAAATTTCAGTTCTTTTCGGCTGCTCCCAATTCACCGCGCAATGCAGACGAAACTGTGTGAGCGGAGGTGTGTACATACCCTGCAGGGATAGCTAATAGTTGTGAACTTGAATAAGTACTACCAGTTTGCTTTTCAGCCCAACTAGTTCACGTCCCATCCTTTTTCAATATTAGCGACTGACATTTTTAACATGGCGATGTCCTACGAGATGTCAATTGTCAGGCTATGCATCAGCATCTACTAGTAGAAATACTAGTAGCATCCAGTTGAAAGCATGAATATGCCGATTTGCTCGCGACGCTCCAACAGTCGCAATGGCCGACCGACAGAGCAGAGCATCTAAGGATTTTTTTTTTTATTTATTGTCTTTTTTAATTAGGGTTTCTATTGTCATTTTTAAATTTATTTAAAAAAATATATTTTTGTAAATTTCTTATTTTATGGCACAAGTAGTTTTTCTCATATGCATGTTTTTCTGCAACGAAATTAGATTTTCAAATTCATTATTAATATTTAAATTGAAATAATTACATATATTGACTTACATTGAATTACCTCCAAGCGGACGCGAACCTGCGATCTCAGCACTAGAACCAGTAGTCTTCTTGCGATGCCACAGTCGATATTTGTAAGAAAAGCAATTAATTGCGTTTTATGTTCGGCTTTGGCAATTCAAAGGCAGATGTCGCTGAACGCTTAAGTTAGCACATAGTAGTTAATGAACTGGTATTTCTACTGACTGGTTTGGCTTTTCACTGCAGGGTACATATGTGCATACCTATGAGCATGTGTGTAAAGTGATATTTAAAACTGAAACAAATTCCACTGAGGTATTAGGTTGCAAGCCATACACCAGGGTCGCATACACGTACATACATACATACGTATCAGTGTTGCTACGGTCAAATTTTTTCCTAACTTTCCACTTTGGAGAGTGCCATTTCCAAATTTTTGATGCAAAAGAAAATCCATCTCCAAGGTGTATCAGTCTGCTATTCATGATACGTAGGCAGTCACATAGAATATGCTCTGAGGTTTCCTCCAATGTACCCATAACTTGCAGTGTCCTATCAGGTAGCCAGTGAGAGCTCCAAGACCCTCCCGGCTAAGTTCAAGGAGTCTTATGGATTTCCTGCTGGAAGTAGTTATGGATCTCTTTGATTGTCTCATTACGTTTGACTTCGACAGTGGTCAGCAATCTGAGATTCTTGCCATCTCCTAAGCAGTTCGGCAGTGTATCTTTTAGATATAATGCAGGAAGGCTCGGTACCATGCAAGCGCATTTTGTGGATTCCCATTGAGCCTTTTGTCCAGAATTGTATCTAGATGCTTCGCCTCTTAGGAGAACTCAATTTCTGTCGCAGCCATGGATCTGGTCAAGTTGACTTTCCTTCGTATACATACATTCATATGTAGTTTTTCACAAGTTTGTGGTTCAAATCAATTTAAATTAAGCGGCAGGCACATTAAGCATACACATTTACATACATATGTATGTGTATGGATGTACATATTTTATATTGGCAATAATAAGGGTATACATTTGTACTTAAGAATCAGACATATTTAAATGTTTGCGGTCGCCGTTACACGACCACATTGGTAAAATATTCGCGTAAACAAGGTTGCTAATTGTTTATAGATAGATATTTTTTATTTTTCGCAGATAACTATTATTGTCGCGGAACCTACCAAAATCCAATTTAGCCTATCAATGTTCCAAATGGAAAAAAACCTACCAGTTTTGGTAGGAAAAGTCCGCATGTGGCAACACTGATATGTATGTACATTAGACTACACCAGGAAAAAAAGTTCATCGCACATCCCTGAGTCTAAAGCACTTTTGCAAGTCAATTTAGAAAAAAATACATATATTTTTTTGCCAAACGTAGATGTTGCCTTCTTAAATATTTTTCGTCATAGATGCGGCATTTACAGTCGGATCTTGAAGTTTCATATTTTAATTTTCTTACCTCGAGGAGAATTCTTTTTTTTGTTCCAAAGTTCATTAACCTCAAGTAACCCTTTCTAGTACTGACCCACCAGATAACAGTTCTTATCACCCTAACGTACCACCCTAATATCGGCAATGATTGCTCCCCAAAAATCCAAAAAATAATAAGGAAATATTTCGAACGTTCCAGTAAAACCAAACAAAAACTGTTTTGCCGAATGTAGGTGTCACCGAATAATTTAACAAGATTCGGCCAAAAAAAATTTCGAAAATGCCTTGCAAAAATAATTTTAACTCAGGGGCGTACGCCGATTTTTGTTTATTTGCTGTAACGGTCTAATGTATATATGTATACATTTGTACTGGTATGTGCATATGAATGCGCTATACATAAATACTTTCACATAAAACAGTTACCTAACGGATTTGGCGGCGAAAAAGAGCGTCAAAGATAAAAATTCGAAAAGGCTGAAATGGAAATGATTGAAAGAAATCGATATTTCTATGAAAAAATGCGAATTCACGCGAATTTACGTAGGAGTGTGAAAAATGGGACATGAAGCCATTAAACGTAAAAATTTGAACGGTGAACAAGCATTCTTTTGTAATATATTATTTATTTCAATTAGTGCAGTTGGTATTTTGTGGATTTTTTAATTTGTTGTTTGCTTTTGGTTTTGGTTGATTTAGATACAAACATACCTACATATGCACATATATGCCCCGTTTTTTCATTCCTTTATTCGATTGAATGACTTTTATGCATATCTGCATTTTTCACCAACTCTAATCGGGATATCTACATAGTATTATTGTTCGTGTAGTAGATTTTTTTTTATTTTTTTTTTTTTACTTACATGTGAGTACATACAATTGTAAAGCCTTTCAATTACAGTTCATAATTTAGATATTTTGTGCACACCTCAGTCACGGTTGACTTTAATTAAAATTTCATTAAATTTGCATATGTAAGCCGGTTAAAAATCCACATGAATCGAATGCACATTGCAATTGCAATTTGTCAAGCGGCCAACTGTGTAGCCAGCATTTATGTACGGGTATATAACAACAACCGCAATATTAACAGCAAAAACAATATCCCCAAAAAAAAGTGGCAACATGTAACGAAAATAAGTTCAGCTGTCGTGCGCGAATGCCGGCAGGCATTTTAATTGCTGTACATTGTTCGAATGAGAGTGAAGAATTTATATGAAATTTGCATTATCTGCAAAAAAAAAAGAGAAAAAATTTTAATTGAACATCAGTACTCAAGGCTAAAAACCGCATGCTGCGTGCACGTCAATTACAAGAGTGTTTAGAAATGCCAAGTGAACTTGTGTGTGAAAGTGTAAGAGCTATAAAACGAAAAGGTAAACTAAAAAAAAATTATATTTAAAGAATTTACACTTTTGTAAAAACATAATTTCTCCTGAAAATAAAAACCATTTTTATTAAAAAAAAATCATTAGAAGAAACTTAAATAATGCCTCATTTCCACAGACATTGCATTGAAAAAATATGTGTTATAATACCGGATTTCTACCGGACTTTTAATGGCAACATTTTTATGATATAATTGGACATTAAAAATGCCGGTATCATTAAGACTAACAGTACTGTTCTGGCAACTCTCTTTCAACACACTAAAATCTTTCGAGCTACATATGTCTATCTTGAAAATTCTTTTCTGGCCTTCAAAAGAATAATTGAAAAATCTGCTAACGACGAGGTCTAAGCTATATAACTAATAATAATAATAGCTAATAACTTAAATTAAAAAATATATATTTTTCTGATTAAAATAATTATATCTAAAAACTAAAAGGAAAAAATTTAAATAAAAAAATAAATAAAAATTAAAAAAAAATTAAATTTAAAATTTTTTAAATAAGTTTCTAAAAATACAATGATATTAAAAAAATATGTTCCTTTAAAATATAAAAAAAAATATAAAAATTAGAAGAAAATTTAATTTAAAATAACAATAGTAAAAAAAATAGTAAAAAAAAAACGAAAGATAAAAAAATATGTTCCTAAAAATTTAATGAAATGAAAATAATGTGTGTCTTTTTAAAATAATATAATCCAAAAATTAAGAGAAAAAACATAACAAATAAAAGAAGTTTCATAAACGTAAAAAGGCGAAATTTTATTCGTAGATACAAAGTTCCTAAAAATTATAGGACAGTAAAATATATATATATTTTTTAAACAATGAAATCTAAAACCTAAAAGAAATGTTAAGTGAGACAAATTTAATCCAAAAAAGGAAAAGTAAAAAAAAAATCTAAAAATAAAGTAACCTTTAAAAAATTATTTTCAAAGTATTAAAATTAAAATAAAAAAAGATACGTTTTTTGAAAATTAAATTTAAAAATTTGACTAAAAAATACTAATAAAAACTAAATCAATTTCAAAAAATTAAAAGGATTTTAAAAATATGCCCATAGTAATTTCTTTTTAAAATAATAAAAGCTAAAAATTAAAAGAACAATAAATTACAAAAAGAAAAAGCAATTAAAAAAAATAAGAAAAAATATTTCGATGGTCGAGTACGCGAAACTCGGATATTTCCAATGACTCGCCAGTGCTTTGCTCATTCGGCCATTGCAGCTGTTGAAGCAGCGCAAACAAAATTATGTACAAGTGCTTTTTGTCAAAAGAGCTTTTTACCATGAGTGGGCAAAGGAGCTTTTTTGGTAAGACTTTCGTGTCAGACTAAAAGAAATAAATCTTTTAAACCCCCTGGCGTACTGTACTGTCTTTCAATTGTCTTACACATTACTTTCAATTATCTTAGCCACAATTTCCCTGTAAGTCTGTTTCCACAATGTACTTGTTGAAATGGTACACGCTTCTTAGCTAGTTTTCACATCTCAAAAACAGTTACAGTTGGAAAAAGAGTGGCAACGAACTTTCAATTTTTCTCTTAAATAAAATTCGTATTACAACCAAAAAAAAAACAAAAAGAAACACTAAAGACTAAAAAGTACAGTTTTGGTATTTCTTTCATCCGCCCTCCATCTCCATCATACTCACATCAGTCATTGTGCCACGTGAAACGTGTACAAAGCTTGTTGCCTTTAGTATTGCCGGTTTTTGGGCGCGCGCCACTACTAACACCAACATCTGTTGATAATGTGTGTGTGCATTTGTCCAGTCGTTATTGAAGACAGCTTGAGCTACGTTGATGCTCTGAAAAATATATTAATAAAAGAGAAACAAGTTAAACAATGCAAAGTGTACACACTTCTCACATATTTAATAATACATATCGTGACCTTAATTCACAAAGGCCCTAACCAACAATTTTTTTTTATTTCACAGGAGAACATTATAAAAAGAGTATGAAAATCAGGTAGGGCTTTTTAAAAGTGACATGTAACGCCGTTGTTTTTGGAACTATTTAGCGCTTTAAAATTTTTATTGAAGGTGCATTTTAATATATCCTAGCAAAATCTGTGAAAAACGCAGTTTCGAAAAAAGTGTTGCTTAGGGCCTTCGTGAATTAAGGCAACAATATTTTTAGCATTTGTATGTGGAATAATTCAAAGCATAACTAAATAATTTGCATTTCTTTACATTGGCTAGAAACAGTTGCGGCTTAATGGCGACAGTAGTTTGGCCACATAGAGCCGCTTTCCAGCTTCTCAACTCCCATAGTCTTAGGACTACACTTGCAGCATATTTCATGCGTACACTGAGAAACAAATCAACCAAAAATTTGTTAGTATTACCAAATTGAAGCTTAACAAGGAATCAAAGTGATTTTTGGTTAATATTAACAATGCCTTGGTTGATATTTTCAACAACGATGTGGTTATATTCGCAACATTTTTGTTTACATTAAAAAAATTTCGTTTAAATGCGCTTATATTCTGCACTTCACAGATGCTTTTTTTGTAATTAATAAAAACCAAAAATATAAAGGAAAAAATAAAAATTATGTGCTGCCGCTGACGACATTCGAATCCGAACCTACTGGAAGCCAACAAATATCAGCAAGCACGTCTGCACTTTCAGATACAGCCAGACATACGATTTTTTTCCAGCTTGAATCACATTTCTTATAATCGGTGTATACTTTCTGTGGGTAGGATGTTTAGAGTCATATGCATAGCTTCAGTAGGTGTTGTACGGAGAGCATTACCAATGCGGATAGTACAGGTACTATTGACACCAAATCATCATTAATAGTCCCACTTTCAACTTCCTTCAATTTAATTTTCATGATGTCAGAAAGCGTCTACCCCCTGGCAACATGCAACAAGAATAGAACTTCCAAACACAAGAAGGAAAGAAAAGTGTCCTGCATTTTCTATGGGAATTTTAAAGATTTGTTTGCTTATTTGTAAAAAAAAAATACAATATATTAAAATAACGGCGTGAATGCTAAGGGCTTGACAGGAAAATGCCCGAAATTTTACCAGAGTGCAAGGAGACTTACGGAAGGTTTCAGGCGACCTACTGACCGATGTACAGAACGTGCTTAAATTTTTTAGGGAACACTTTTACACCCTACTGAATGGTAGCAGCACTGAAAGTTCATGACTGACTGTGACGTGGTACGAATAGCAATTACGCGATAGAAAAAGAACAAAGCTTCTGGTGCTGACAGCCTGCCAGCTGAGCTATTCAAGTACGGCGACGAGGAGCTGATAAGAGGCATGCATCAACTCATATGCAGAGTGTTGTCAGATGAACGCATGCCCAATGATTGGAATTTAAGTGTGCTCTGCCCAATCCACAAAAAAGGCGACCACGCCAACAAGAAGAAGAAGAAGAAGAAGAAGAATTGGGCATAACAATAAGCCGATTTTAACCATTTTACAGATTAAATTTTCTCTGTTTAAAACTAAGCTACAAACCGAATTTTATGTATGTTTTTCATTCTATAAGATCTTCACAGATTTCTCCATTCCCAAGCAAAATTACCACAGATAACAAATTACAGCAAAAACGAAATAGATATTGTACTTTTTGCCATATTTTATATGGGTGAGGGGGGCCTTCTACTGTGCGTCGCCTTCTTTACCAGTAACTGCGCACTGTTCAACTGCCTTTTGTAACCTCAGCTATCGCTATCTTATAAACTTAAAATTATACCGACATATTTTATATTTATACCTAAATAATTTATTTCATTTGAATATCAACGCATTTAAGATTTTTCAATTTATTTCATTACGCATTGGGTATAAGCAAATAAATCAACCCCCACTTACCTTCATCAACTGACACTTCATTGAGTAAGTGGGCGTGTTCACTAAATGGTCTACCTCACAAAGCAATGCAACCTTACATATATATATGTACATATTTACATACTATGTAGTAGGAGCTGTTGGCATCATCAACTTACTTCAGTATATAGGTGGCCAAATTAAAATGTCATTAGCGCGAATTCAATGGCCCCAACGCCTAATCAATTGAATTACTATTTGCAAGCAATATAAATAAACGTGCTGAAAGTTCCCGGTAGGAAAAGAGGAGTTCAGAAAGTATGGAACTTGTAACGGGTGATTTTTTTGAGGTTAGGATTTTCATGCATTAGT